CGTTTTTCTCCGAGAATAGCTTATTATCTGATCTTCTAAAGTTCAAACCCATTTATTCGCCAGGCCCTGATGGAGTACCTAAATGCTAAATGATGGAGTATGCTAAAATACTGTGCCATTACTGTACTGTGCAAACCCCTTCTAAGACTTTTCAACTTATCTTTGGAAACCTCGATTTTTCCCCTCAAATGGAAGATGGCATAGATGGCTTTCGTAAGGGATATCAAACCGATGTAATTTACACAGACTTCAGCAAAGCATTTGATTCAGTAAATCACTCACTCTTGCTGAGCAAACTGAATATGTTGGGATTCTCCACAGACCTCTTAACGTGGGTCTCCAAGTACTAAAATGGAAGGATACAAAGGGTCTTATTTAAAAACACACCGTCTGGTCCGTGCTACATCTGGCGTCCCTCAAGGAAGTAATCTTGGCCAGTTGTTTTTTACTCTTTTTATAAATGACTTGCCCCCTGCTTTAACGAACTCTCTAGTTCTTATGTATGCAGATGATGTAACGCTTTGTCTTCAGTACAAATCCATCTCTGCCCAATTCAGTCTTCAGTCTGACCTTGATAACTTTCAAAAATGGTGTTTAGCTAATAATTTAATACTTAATAGATCAAAATGCAAGCTTATGTCTTTTTATCGTTCTTGCCCTCTGCTTCATACACTTTTTATGGGAATGACGTTGAAAAAAAATCTTAGGTTAATGATCTCGGTGTCCTATTAGACGTTATACTTAAATTTGCCGACCATATTTCCTTAATGGTTAATAAGGCTAATAAGGATAAGGGAATCCTTTCCTTGGTTTTATTAAAAGGCGGTCAAAAGAATTTAATGACCAATATATAACCAAAACATTATTAATTTTTTTGTTCCGTCCGATACTGGAGTACGGTTCATGTGTCTGGAGTCCCCAATATAGAGTACATCAGGTCCGCGGAGATTCCGTACAAAAGAATTTCTTAACTTTTTCTTTCAGAGGTCTAAATTGGGATGCAAATCTTCACCTTCTATCTTATAATAGTAGACTCTTACTTATAAACTTACCTAGCTTAACAAATTGTAGGGCAATGCATGGTGTAGTCTTTCTGCATAACCATATTAACGGGGATGTAGTTAGCCAGCATTTACTAACACGCTTAAATTTTAACATTCCTAATAGAAGGACTCGAAACTTTAGTCATCTATTCCTTAGCCGTTTTTGTTTGACATATGCACAAGACGATCCTTTTAGGGTATTATGTTCGAACTACAATGGTCTCTACTCTATTACATCTCTTTCCTGTCCTTCTAATTTAAAATATAGAATTTTAAACTTCCTTACTAACTCCTCTTAGCTTAACAAATTTAAAATAGCTTATTATGTACTAACAAATCGTTTCTCGAGCGCCCCTCGGGCGTCTGGGCCTCTGAGCTTTATGATGAATACAAAAATGCTAGCTGATGCTCTAATTGATGCACAAGCCATTTAAAATTAGGAAAGACCGGGAAAACAAAAAAAAATAAAATAAAAAAACTCTCATGCAGCGATATCCTGCACGTCCATGGCCAGCTTGAATAATTTCCAAAATAAGTCACTTGTGATTTCATTATAATTTAGCTGCTTCAATTGAGGGATATGAGGCAGCTTAGTGAAGATCAAGCTTGCGTTCGTGCAATTGGAACCGATGCAAGGCCTGAGCATAGGTTTGTGCAACGCTTCTGCATTGACTTGAAGGTCATAATGGATGAGTCTTCAATCCGCATCGCAACCTTGTTCTTCTGGTGCAGAACGTACAATTCCTGACAGTCCACCTCTGCTCTTTTCCGCAGCTTTCTCTTCCTGCTTGAAGCAGCAGACCCAGTACGGGGTACAATCAGGTCGGGATCACCAAAATGTTAAGAAAATAATAGTTTTTTATATCGGCCGAATAAATAGCAAAAAAGTTGCAGTTCAATTTCAATATTAATTTGGGGGTTGAGCTGAATTAATTGAATTTAACCCTAAAATCTCCATTCGCTCAAATCAATACTGAATATAAAAGTAATCGAAGCTTATTATGAGAAGCTCCGATCAATGCAGTTGTATATCATTACGTGGGCAAGAGCGTAAATAAAAGACGAGCTGCACACTGGTTCAGCAACTTTACGAAAGGCAATCTCGTAGTTATTTGAATTAGAAACTCAAACAAAATAATTACCAAGAGCAAAATAAAATTTTTTTAAGTGTTGTTAATAGTTTCTGCTTGAAACCAACTGTGTTGCTAATAGTCTTAGAGACAAAAAAAAATGGAACCCGCACTAAAAAAAGGTTTTGGTAGCTTTTTATTAATTATATGTCGCATCCCGTCAAGAGGCGGCATTGAGACAATTCGGGTGAAAAAAATTATTAGGTAGGTTTAAAAGTAGAACAACTTATGATGAATGAACTTATGAACTTATGATACATTGAAGTACACATGATTGAGTAAATATTAATTAATATTTAGAGATTAAGAAATTTTCAAATTCAATTTTTTTTTACTTTGACACGGACGGAAAATAAGAACTGGAGGACAATTTGACGGTTTGCGAGGCATCGTATTCTGTCAGTGAGAAAGATCAAGAAGCGATTGAAGAATGGTGCAAAAGTCAGATTCTATGTATGTTAGTTAGGTTTGGAAGGACAAAAAGGCAGGGCGACTTGCATCGACTTACGCGGACACAAAGCCTTTCCTGACGTTTTAGGAAAGACGTTTTCTTCTAGATTGCCCAAATGTAATTCACAAATATTCACAGCCACATAGACTTTACGGACACACTTATTGGTCGATATAAAACTCCAGTTAAGAGCAAAAAGTACACAAATCGACTATTTACACATAGGTATGCTTGAATTAAATATTAAGCACTTAAATTAAAGCACTTAGCTTAAAGTTTGTTCAACCGAATAATCTACCCCACCGTTAATAACACAAATTACCAATTGCCACACTTTTGATCGGAGGTCGTATTTGTGCTTTGCATCCTACAAAAGAACCAGGGCGCCCACGACTTTTTGCTGGAAAGGAAAATAAATGCACAGATAGGAAAACGTTCCTACCGACTAATGATGTATGTTATGATACTGTCGAACATTTTCCCATGTTTTTATCACGCGCTGACAAAAAAAACCCTGTAAGCTTCCAGGTTGTACTTCCGAAACTCAAATTGTCTGCCGTATATGTAATATAAACCTTTGCTTTTCGTCAAAAAAAACGTTTTCTACTATTTTTATCACAAATAAAAACACGAACTTTTCTCATACAAATATTTTAGGTTTTGAATTTTAAATAACTTTGGTTTAAATTTTTATTTTATTTGAGTTTTGAGCCATTATTTATTTTAACAAAAATATTGACTGCTAAAATTTTTTTTGGCTTGCTTTCCCAAAATCGCCTTAATGGGTTCTAAAGATTTTGTGCTATAAAACTCGATACGTTCAAAAATAAACATTTTTGTAACACAAATATTCCTCTTGACCATAGCTCGCAAATGACTGTTAACCTTTTTGTTTCTGTTCAGTTTAAGAGAACAACCGAAAAAAGTTTGACAATCAATCTCTCTCAGAGCAGGAGACTTACTTTCTTTTGATTTTGGTTTGAAAATGCTGAAAATGCTCTTTCAACAGATACTTGAGTAGCCGGGATGGCCAAGACTACACATGCAAGCGCACTGAAGCTTGGCGATTTTAGCTTTACATTTGTATAAAAATGTATAACATCAGCCATGAGTTGTGTTTAGATTAGAGGCTTAAGATGAAAATGTCGCATCTTATTGTGAAATTCGATTAAGCTGATCGATGCAATTTGGTGGGTAATTGAAACGCAAAAGGCGTAATTGATTGGGCTTCGGAGGGAAGCTGATGTTTACTTTTGATTTTAATTTGTTTACATATCTTTTTTTAATAAAAACGGGCTAACGTGTGAGAGTTTAAAATAAACTCTTTGACATAAGCTGGCCTTGTTAATTCGCAATTCAAAGATATAGGCGGCAATTCATAGATATTTGACGTGCCATAATCGTCTTTCACTATTACATTTTATTTCCATTGTTTTTATACCCTTGCAGAGGGTATTATAATTTTGGTCAAAAGTGTGCAACGCAGTGAAGGAGACATCTCCGACCCTATAAAGTATATATATTCTTGATCAGGATCACCTCCTGAGTTGATATGAGCATGTCCGTCTGTCCGTCTGTCCGTCTGTCCGTCTGTCCGTCTGTCCGTCTGTCCGTCTGTCTGTCCGTCTGTCTGTTTCTACGCGAACTAGTCTCTCAGTTTTAAAGCTATCGTTTTGAAACTTTGCACACACCCTTCTTTCCTTTGCACGCAGTATATAAGTCGGAACGGCCCGGATCGGCCGACTATATCCTATAGCTGCCATATAACTGATTGATCGGAAATGGTATAACTTTGGTGTTTTTAGAGTTAGAGAGTTCAAATTTGACATGTGAGCTATATTTGGCAAAACATTACGTCATGCCAAATTTCATAAGGATCGGCCGACTATATCCTATAGCTGCCATATAACTGAACGATCGGAAATGACCCAACTTTCGTGTTTTTGAAGATAGAAAGCTGGAACTTAGTACAGATTTAATTCTTGGTCAGTTGATCCAACCTACCAAATTTCATTAGGATCGGCCGACTATATCCCATAGCTGCCATATAACTGAACGATCGGAAATGGTATTTGGTAGAAATATCAACTTTCGTATTTTTGAAGATAGAAGTTTGGGACTTTTTTTAGATTTTGTATTGTAATAAATTGGATTATATATTCCTATTCCCATAAGGATCGGCCAACTATATCCGATGTTTGCGATATATATCCGGTTTTAACTGCAAGGGTATATAAACTACGGCTCCGCCCGAAGTTAGCTTTCCTTTCTTGTTTTGTATAGTTTCCTCGAGAGAGATTCCACATAACTTATTCTAACCTTCATTTTAGATGTAATATTTTGACAACTCTTTTGAATTTATATTTTTTTAGATAGTTGGACAGATTATAACAATCAAAATCGATTGCCTGGAGATCGGACAACGACACAACTACAGCTACTTAAGCCAGCCCAAACGTACCACGTTCGATTGTATTCTGAAAATGATATAGGTATTAGTGCACCTAGCGATGTATTATTTATAACAACGGATTCTGAAGTTCCATCTGCTCCTCCGAACGATGTGATGGTAGATGCTTTAGGTCCCCAACAGGTAAGTAAAAATATTTGGTTTAAAAGAAAATTAATATAAGAATAGCTCATTCAGGGCAATGGTTTTGTGCCATCAAATACACTTAGATAGATTAGTGGTGTAATTTTTTGCCAAATGGGATAATGACTTAAGGGGTTATATACAGTTGTACCGCGCAAAAATATGGAATTTTATCGATTTTTTTTTGACACCATAGAAAATATTTATGAAAAATGTTTTACCGATGTTGTTTAGTACATGTTTCTGGGTACTTAATTAAATTTTTTCATAAAAAAATATTACATAACAAAAATGTTATAGTCGAATTCCCGGATCGTCTCTTTTCGATGGTGTCTTGCGGTGGACATGATTTCTCGAAAACGGTTCATCCGAAATCCAAAATTCAAAAAAGTTTAGTTAGTATATTGTATTGTCTAGTCCGTGAATGAGGGATTTTTAAAAACATGGATTAAAAAAAAAATGGCGACGTTTTTAACAAAAAATTTACTTTTTCAAGGTATAAGATTTTCGTTTTTTGTGCTTTAAAAAAAGAGTTTTCAAAAAAATCCCTCGTTCACGGACTAGCTAATATCATAATAAATAAGTGGTCAAAATTTGGTGTTGATCGGATTAGTAGTTTTTTAGTAATCAAAGGTAATTTCCCAAAAAAAAGATTCTGAGATAATCGCGTTTAAAGTTTCAAGTTTGTTCAAGTTTTATATGCAGATAGTGCGCTATAAATAGCTACAGCTTCGGTTCTAATGCTCCGATCGTTATGAATTTTTGTGAGAGTATTTCCAATAAAATATACTTAAAGAATATTCAATAACAAAAAAATCGATTTTTTCATATATCACAACTGTAAATAACCCCTTAAAAACTTCACCATTTATATAGGGAATATCGGAGACATCAGATTTAGTTGGCTAATCGATTCGGTTATAATTAAAAAGTCAATTTCTTATAGTATTTTAAAAAATAAAAAAAATTCAGATCGTTCAGTTATATGACAGCTATCAGAAATAGTCGGCCGTTAATGTAATTGTTCGGCCGTTAATCGTTATGAAATTTGGTAGGTCAGATCAACTACAAAATAAGATCAATAAATAAAATAAAATCTCAAATCAGATAATATCTGTACGAAGTTCGAACTTTCTATCTTCAAAATCACGAAAGTTTCGTCATTTCCGATCGTTCTTTCGGTGTCGGTGTCTGCAGGCACCCGAACTTTCTAACTCTTAAAAACCAAAGCTATACCATTTCCGATAAATCAGTTATATGGCAGTTATAAAATATAGTCGACCGATTCCGGCCGTTCCGACTTACCTCGTGCAAAGAAAAGAAATGTGTGTGCAAAGTTTCAAGTCGATAGCTTTAAAACTGAGAGACTAGTTCGCGTAGAAACAGACAGACGGACATCCTCATATGAACTCATGAGGTGATCCTGATCAAGAATATTGGTATATACTTTATAGGGTCGGAGATGTATCCTTTACTGCGTTGCACACTTTTGGACACAATTATAATACCCTCTGCAAGGGTATAAAAATAAAATTATGTTTTATCTGGGAGCTGTAATTTTTTTCTTTTGCCCTAAATTCTCTTAAACTGATACCCTTTTCATCAGAAATCATTTCATAAAATTATCTAATTTGAGATAGGTAAGATAAGTAGATAAGTACATATTAGAGGTACATATTCAAGGATTTAATTTATTGAATTTGAATTTAATTTATTGAAATTTATTGAAAGGAAAACCAACAAAAAACTTTATTCATAATAAGGGGAAAAATAAATTTGATCTTCATTCAATACATTTTATTTTTAAAATTGTACTCTGAATTAAAATCACTTTCGGAACTCTGAAGTTGTTTGGCCTTCTGCGTAAAAAAAAACATTTCTTTTACAAACATCTTTATTTTTCCAATTAAGTCCACGGAATGTTTTATTTTTTAACGCAGTCAAGTCCCAAGTTTAACAATCCCTATGGATCAACAGAACTTTTAACATAAAAATTAAGTTTTTAATTTTTTTAAATTTTGTTACTTATTTTAGGCAAAAGACTGCAAGATTTTCATTAAAGTGAAATTGAAGTAAAATATGAGAATTTCCTCTATCTATTATCTAACTATTTCTAAACTAACTATTATCCATTTTAGCTATGGATAAACATAATTTGAAAATATATGCAAATCTCCCTGAGTGAACCAACTCATAGATAGAGAGAATCTTAATTAATCCGGAATTACATATAACAGCTCTTCAATTTCATTATTAAAAATGAGTTAAATTTATGATATTAATTGTGCAATTAGTCCAATTCATGTTTAACAAACTTTTGTTTACATTTTTGATCTTAAAGGATGAGAAAATTTTTAATTTAAAAGAAAGACCTGTCTGTCGTTAATTTAATTTAATTATAATTTAACTTTCGTTTCGAATCTTAAATTCTACCTGACACAATTTCGTTGGTGCGCCATCTGTGGGCCATGATTTCTCAATGTTGACATGTAGAGGTCGCCATATAAATACCCAATATTTTTGAGGGAAATTTTTTTGGCTCAAAGGCGATTTTTTCGCTTTTGAGTTGAAAAAAAATGCTCAAAAATTTTTTTTTGAGTTTTTTTTTTTTGAGAGAAAAAAACGTAGAAAAAAGTTGAAAAACGTTAATCAATTTCAATTTTAAAATTGAAATACTATTCAATTCAATTTTATGTGAAAAAAAAAATTGAACCTATGAAATAAAAATTTGATCTGTTGACAATTTTTAAAAATTTTTAGACAAGACAAATTAAATCAAAGTGCAATTAAAGAGCCGTAAAAGGCAATGCTTTAATGATCCATGCAGTATTTTACCTTGGTGTTATGAAGCGTATTTTATCACACATTCGTCTTCTTCGACCATAATACCATCAAACAAAAAAAATTCCCTTGACCAGGAATTAAACTTAATCCATCAGCACTAAGAAGGTCGGCTAACTCTCCATTTTGCTGATTAATGACAATGTTTGGTATTGCGTCGACTTTGTTGCGTTTGATTTTGTTTATTTCATATAACAGTTTTAATCTTAAAAAATTAAAATTTGTGCTAAAGAAATTTATGTGTTATAACATAACGTTATTATGTATTATTATTATTAAAAGTGATCTGTTATTCAAGATTATTATAATTGTTTGGTCATTGATATTTTTCAATGACGGTAATTAAGAAGTCCAAATGTATTTAATTTTGAAACGTTATAAAAAAAAACATTTTATTTGGCCGCATATGAAATTGGGGAATATACAAAAGAACACCAATTTAAGATGCGAGCGCAAAGAGATAACGAACGAGAGTGTGCCCGCCTTAGTAATAGGCTGAGGAGTTGCTCGCTAGCTTGAGATGCTAAATTAGTTGAAGCCAATGCGTACATTATTACTTAATTATTTAAACCTAACAGTTGTTTGCTGCCTGATCCTTCTCCCCCCAGTTGGGGCTTCTTCTTTAACTTCATCCTTAAGGGGCAACAGGAACAGCTTAGATACTGCGCGCTTGTTAACTCCAGATGAGGTTTTAATCACCGCCTCTCGAAAGACTCCATCTCAACTAGGGATTAACTACATTATTCTCGCAAGCGGCCATTTCATCGGAGGTAGGTCCTTGAGTAGCACCACTTCGTTCATGGCCAAGGCAGGACCGGAAGCACGCCATTTGTGGCACTGCCAAAGAAGCTTTAGGTACTCCTCCTTCCATCGGGACCAGAAAGACTGCTGCAGGAAAGACATGCGCTGCCAGCTGTCCAACCGGTTAAAGTTCAGCTTTGTGACATCAGGCTCGATAAAGCTGACTGACGGACCACCATTTAAAAAATGAGCCGGGGTCAGAACATCAAGGTCTGCAGGATTTTCTGAAAGAGACAATAAGGGTCGTGAATTTATAACAGCCCCAATATGGCACAGCAGCGTTCGCAGCTCCTCGAATCCAAGAACTGCAGATCCGACAGCTCGGTAAAAATGGTGCTTGGCGGTTTTAACAGCCGCTTCCCACAGACCACCGAAATGCGGAGATCGAGGAGGAATAAAATGCCATTCGATGGACTCCATAAAGCTAAACTCTAGCAGTGCCCGTTGATGCTCTTCGCTTAGAAATAATCGGCGCAGCTCCTTTAGCTCGTTTTTGGCTCCAACAAAGTTGGTTGCGTTGTCAGACCAAATATGTTGAGGCCTTCGGCGGGTGCATATAAAACGCTTCAAAGCCTGCAAAAAAGACATTGTGGACAGATCCCTTACAAGCTCCAGGTGGACGGCTTTGGTAGCAAAACAAATGAAAATGCTAACGTAACATTTTACTGAAGCCTTATTACGCACTTCCGACTTATAATAGAACGGTCCACAAAAATCCACACCAGTGACTCCAAAGACCTGGGAGCCGATAACTCTTTGCTCTGGGAGATCAGCCATAATGTGCTCCAACAACCGAGGCTTAGTCCGGAAGCATCGGATGCATTTGTGTATTGCCTTCGTCACGGTTTTTCTCCCCCTAATTGGCCAATATTGGGACCGAATAATTGCCAACAGTGCGCGAGGTCCCGTATGTAAATTTCGCTCATGGAAGTCAACAATTATAGCCCGCGTAACTGGATGGCTTCTTGGAAGTATAATTGGATGCTGTTTATCAAAATCCAACGACGAATTTTTTAGCCGACCGTCTACGCGCAACAGTCCAAATTTGTCCAAGAAGGGAGAGGATGAGGCAAGGGCACTGGATACCGCTATGTCTTTTCCATTTTGAAGAGCCTTTATTTCCTCCCAAAAATGCACACGTTGCACTAGCCGCAATAACAGCTGTGTTCCAGATTTTATATCGCTAGCCGTAACACCGTTGTGGTGAATTCGTTGAGAAAACTTGTATACGTAAGCGAATACCTTCTGCAGTGCTGGAAACGAATTAGCGTACTTAGAAACCGCTGTTATATCTTCGTACGGAGACTGAATGAGCAGGACCTTTGCACGTAACTCCAGGGTTGATCTCTCAAATGGGA